AGCTGATTTAGTGTTGATATCAAAACTTTGTGGGTAAAATAATAAATCTGGGATTCTGTTTGGTGGGATTTTTTCCTTTGGTGCAGCTCTTGCAGCAGTTTTTTATCTGCCCGGGTATTTTGGAATATTCAAGGAATATTCCATTCCAGCTGCTTGGTTCTCTCGCTGATGCTCCGTGTGCGAGCAGCTGAGTGTCTGAAATCTGCCTGCAACTACACACAACACACACACACACACACACACACACACACACCACACACACACACGCAGGACCACATTTACAGACACACACACACACCCCCACAGAGCGCATTCATTGTATCATTTCACACACAGAAATCTGGAATTCTTCATCTGTCCCATGTTCTGGCCCTGTGCATGTAGCGTTGTATGTGTAGTGTGTTGTGTGTGTGTGTGTGTGTGGTGTTGTGTGTTTGTGTGTCAGAGTCACAATGAATATGCACACCAGAGTGCACATTGAGGCCTACTACAATAACACACGCACACTCAGACACACAGAGGCACCCTGGCTGAAATGCATCCCAACCCGAATCAACAAATCATAAATCAGGAGATTTCCATCCAGTTTGGACGTCACAGATCAGTTACCATTCCTCTGCAGCTGGAGGGAGGGAGGGAGGGAGGTGAGAGAGACAGGCAAACGAAGAAGAAGAAAGAAAGAAAGAAAGAAAAAAGAATGGACAAAATAGCCTAAGTTATTGGTTAAGTTTTGGTCACTGTAAACAGTTTCTGTGAACAGAGCCCTCCTGGTAACACCAAACACTGAAAATGAATAAATAAAACTCACTGCACTGATTTTGGATGATGAGTGTGAAATGGATAAACTAGGTAAATATAGATCATCAGAGAGGGTGAGCTCTTTGGTTGAATTTGGTGTGTAAAGCTTCAGGGAGGATTCTCGCGGCGTGAACGCATCACCGCATCTTGTTATAGCTGTTATGTGCGCCGCAGAATGACGCAGAAACGCGCGGCACTTTATGCGCAGTAAAGGGTTTGCTCATATTTGGGACCGTTGTTAATTCACTGATATTATTATTATTATTATTATATTATTATTATTATTATTATATTATTATTATTATTATTATTTTATTGTGGAATACAGCATCAATAGCTGTGTCATTATTAACAGATAATTGATTGTTTATGTTTCCTAACTTCTGGCCTTAAACAAAGGTTCAGTGAACAGTGATGAGACACACGCAGTTGAGAGAGAGAGAGGAGAGAGAAGAGAGAGAGAAGAGATATTTACAACAGCTCTCTCACTCTTTGTGGACTGTACTTTCTCTTCTCTTTCAGTCTTTTTGATCGGTGCAATAAATAATGTTTGCAGTAGGTGGCGCTCTGAGCTCACCCCGGCACCTCCGGCAGCGGAATAAAAGGTTGAGAGAGAGAGAGAGAGAGAGAGAGAGAGAGAGAGAGAGAGAGAGAGAGAGAGAGAGAGAGAGAGAGAGAGCTTCCCCCGCCCATCCCTTCATCATTAGAAACCTCAGAGCATGAATTACCTCTCCAAAGTCATCGGCGAGAATTTACGACTGGTCAACAAAAGCACGTGACCGCACCTCCTCTTTCTCTCTGTTTCTCTCTCTCCTCCCTCACCTCACCCCTCACCTCCCCCCTCACACACACACACATACACACACACACACACACACCACCCCACCCCCATATTTGGACGGCGCATACATAGCTAAAAACGAAGTACAGTGCAACGCCATAATTCACTAATACATCATAAATCGTTGAAAGTACCCGCGTTATAACGACCAAGAGAAATCTAACAAATCAAGCGCCCCTTAGCACTTAACTGTAAGACTGCAACTCTCTAAAACAACCTAAATGAGCTCTTACTTTGTAAACTCGTTCTCGGGGCGCTATCCAAATGGCCCCGACTATCAGCTGCTAAATTATGGAGCCAGCAGCGGCGCAATGAACGGCGGGACGTACAGGGACTCGTCCTCCGCCACAATGCACCATGCTACGGGCTCTTATGGCTACAGCTACAATGGCATGGATCTGACCGTCACCAACCGGGGAGGGGGGAGCAGCGGCGCCGCCAACACTGGAGGACACTTCGGGGGCGGCTCAGTCGTCGGGGACTCCCGGGGCTTCGGCTCCCCGGCCCCGGAGAGGAGCTTCAGACAGCCGTCCAGCTGCTCCCTTGCCTCCGCGGCAGACTCCCTCCTGTCACCCGGCGGTGGAGACAACAAGCTGGGCGCCCAGAGCTCGTCTCCCCGCTCGGAGCAACCAGGAAGCGGTAATCTCAGCTCTCCAAACCTGTCCTCCAACTCCTCCGGTGGCGGCGGCGGAGGCGGCGGCGGCGGCGGCGGCACAGTGCAGCGCTTCACGGAGCTGGACGACGCGTCGCCAGAGACCGATGAGTTGTTGCACCACAAACAGGACGCTGGCCGCGGCGGCAACCCGCCCTCCAGGACCGGACACCCGCAGCCTGCAGAGCAGAAGCAGGAGGGCGGCGCGGCGGGATCAGCCGCTGGCAGCACGGCGGGCAGCGAGGCTCAGACACCACAGATATTCCCCTGGATGAGAAAGCTGCACATTAGCCATGGTACACGCTGCTCTCCTGTTCACAACATGTCAGCTCCCTATCAGAGGTTCCAGGGCGATGATATCCACAATGCTGGATAGAGAGATTGTAGTGTAGCCTAAATGTTTGGACACATGGGGCTGGTGACAGTTTAGTTGTGGAGGAAGCTACACGGGGAGCCACGGTGCTCTGAGCCTCTTTGTACACCCTCTACAGACTCAGCAGACTTCGGCTGTTACTGCTTTGATATGATTTGAGTAAAGTGGCTGCTTGAGAATAGCTGAAAGACACACAATTAGTCACGGTTCCTCGTTTTGTCTACACCCCACCAAGCCTTTTTCCTCTGCGTCAATTTCATATTTTCACGACTGTTAAAAGTCAAGGCAGTGAGGCGTTTAAGTCTCCCAGAAAATCTCGAAATGTAGCCTATTTTATTTTGCTTCTTGTTTTTACGCAGATAAAAAGTTATGTGAATATTTCAATTTATTTTTTATTGATTTGGAAAATGAGAGTGAGTAAACAGGACAGCTGGCCACCCTCTGATTAACCATCTGAAGTTTGCTATCAACGTGTTTTCTCAGGGCATCAGGGGGCAATTCGCTCTACATTCCCCCCTGTAGCAGCCTGTGACGCCATGGTTGCCTCCTCTGCCTTTTCTCCCTCTTTTTTTATTTTAAGAAAATTCCACAAAAGCGTCATAAATCTGTCAGGGGAGAAGCGAGCCGGGCAGCAAAAGCCCAACATGGCTGAGGAGCACAGACAGAGCCGGGTGGTGGTGGAGGGTGGAGGGGGGAGAGAAAAAAGAAAGAGAGGCCAGGAAGGCTTTGGAAGCTGTTGCTCCTTTGACAAGTGAAGCGTTTTTACGTGTGGGAACTTTATTAGGGAGGTGAGGCAGAGGACGGGGCAATAAAACCCTGAAGGGAGCTAGACAGAGGGGGCAAGTGGGAATGTGGAGGGTAACTTAAAAAGAAAACAGTGGTATGACAATGAAATGAAAGGAATAAAATGTGGGAAGAAGAAAGACTTCTGTTGATTCAGATTAAACTATGGGTGAAATCTGTCCTGTATTGTGTGTGTGTGTGTGTGTGTGTGTGTGTGTGTGTGTGTGTGTGTGTGTGTGTGTGTGTGTGTGTGTGTGTGTGTGTGTGTGTGTGTGTGTGAAGCATATAGAGGTGAGGCTAAAAAAGAATTGATCCGGTTGTATTTTAGAGCACAGCTTGAGGTGCGTTATAGTGTCTGTTTTCATTTCTACCTATTCACCCGTTCATGTCCCGCTCTGCCTTGTGTCCGCTCCACACCCTTCAGATATGACGGGCCCCGACGGGAAACGGGCACGGACGGCGTACACCCGCTACCAGACGCTCGAGCTGGAGAAGGAGTTCCACTTCAACCGGTACCTCACGCGGCGGCGGCGGATCGAGATCGCGCACGCGCTCTGCCTGACAGAGCGGCAGATCAAGATCTGGTTCCAGAACCGGAGGATGAAGTGGAAGAAGGACAACAAACTGAAAAACATGAGCCTCACCGCCGCCGGCAGCGCCTTCCAACCCTGAAGAAAATTAACCCTTCAAAATAAAAAGAAAAAAAAAGAAAGATCCATCTCTTTGAAAAGGTTACTACCGTGCACAGACTTCCCGGTAGGGAAATAAGAGACAAAAAAAATGAAGAAAAACACAGAAAACAACAGAAGCCAGTGAAGAAGAGAGTGGAATAAAAGAAGAAGACGTGATGAAGAAATATGTCTATCACACAGATTCCAGATCTAGATTTCAAAAACACTTCCTTTCATCTACCGAGTACTGTTCAACAAGCGCAGCACTTTTTATTTGTTGGTCTTTGGTGTTTAAGGGCAATGTAAAAAAAAAAAAAATGACTGTGGTACTTTGCTCTTCTAAAAAAAAGAAACTTAGTGTTCCTGTATGTTCTCGTCGTTTTTAAATAGCTGTGTGGAGGAAAGGAGTCGAGGATAAATATGCTACCTAACATTTCTACCTATACGTCCTACCTTACAACCTTATGGCTACCTGTTGTTCAAGGTCTGAATATTGTTTGTGTGTCAAAGTGCGATGTTTTGTAATTGACAAAGTGCTTTCGAGAAAAGTTAGCATGTGAGCTCTTATTCTAAGTTATTTACTGCAAATTACACGTGTATAGTCCATGAGTCCCCCGCTGCCTCCCCTACCTCCCCCTTCCTCCCTCTCTGTCAGTTACCTTTCATTCAAATACTGCTACAATTTTAAATGAGGAAGCAGGGGAAGGTGCGAGTGTGTGTGTGTAAAAACAAATCAGGCCTTCCTACATCTCCGTATCCATCCATAATGTTGTGTATAACTCTATTATTCAAAAAATGTAACTGCATATTATTGTTATTATTATTATTGTAGGCTAATTATTGGATTCATGTTCCAAAAGGGATGTATATAGATATTGGCATTTCTAAATGTACCCAGTTCACTGTGTGTAGTTGCAGTGTGAATGTGTGTCTGTGTGTGTGAATGTGAGCGTGAGCGTGTGTGCGCGCATGTAAGGGGAATGGCTACCGTCCTGTGAGCTTTCTGCCAATTAGCTTTTTGTATTTGTTTGTAACTTGGAGTAAAACAGACAATAACTAAATAAATAAAAATAAAAATAAAAAATCAAGTTCCTTATACTGGACTTAAGCAGCTGCACATGTTGTAGCTACCAACCTGCCGCAGAAATGGCTGAGCAGGGTCTGGAAACCATGACAGTCATACGGACCAAAAGCTTTAGAAACCTTCCACAGAAAACTGGTTTAGACACATAAATGAGAGCTGTTTGTGCCAGGTGCCGTTATCAATTTATTGCCAACCATATCTCATATGCAAATCTGTGTCTGCTGGTATCAGCTTATAGCATTATAGTTGTGATCTGCCAAACTCTGATCTCAGTGTCTGAGTAAAGCCTGAGAAAAGGTGCAAGTTAGTGCGCAAAGCCGTAACTGACCATTCCGAGTCCATAGGCCTACACCTCTGTGCACCTCCTGCACATTTTTTGCGCAATTTGAGCTAAATCTGATGTAAATGGACCTCAAACTAACTGCCATTTTCCAGTTCTACAAAATTATTCAAGCTTGAGAAAGGGTAAAGAGGCGTCACACCAAACACCCGTCCGCAGGCCTGTCCTCTATTTTCCAGGCCTCACTTGAGCCCTGAACGCCACATTTCCATGATGACAACCTTCAGATCACTAATCACTGAATAAGCTGGTTAAACACACTCAAGCGCGCGCACACACACACGCACACACACACACACACACACACACACACACACACACACACACACACACACTGCTGACCAAGCCTGACAACACAACAAACTACACGCGCTGGACAAATTGGTCACTTTCCTCTAAACGGCCTTTCCTTTCCGCCCTAGCGGCGGCGACACGCGGCCAAATCAGGTTACCGTCTCCCGGTTTCCAACTGTAAACAGCCAACTGAACTTTTAAACTCACCGACTGATGCTGCTGCAGCTTCCCTGTTTCTGAGCTGATGGTAGGGGGGTTGGAGGGGAAAGGGGGGGCTCGGAGGTCCTGCTCCGAGCCTCATCTGGACACAACCTCTATCTGCTGCCGCCTCTGTGTGTTTGTGCGCTGAGATATATTTTTAAAGCTATCCCCTTCTGCTTTGGGCCAAACTATAAAAAAGAAGGCAGCTTTGACATTTACATGTCAAACGGATGAGGGTTTTTATCTCCAAGTTGGATCGTAAAGATCGTGCCTGGCCTCAGACTGATACCTCTCACTGGCTCTCCCCTGGTCACGTGGAGTCCATAAAGTTAGTTTTATGGTTTGGGGGAGTTGACAATGTACTATATATTTCACATTCTAGAAAGCAAGTGACGGTTTAACGGCTTCGCAGGGATCCTAAAGGGGTCAGTAAAGTAGAGACAAAGCGGGAGAGGGAGGGAGTGGAAGGAGTATGTGAGTGTGTGAGAGAGAGCAGGCCACTATACGACCGGCCGCTGGTCCTGCTCCGGTTCATACGTGGAGCCCGGCGATCAGGACGCTGGAAAAACCCGGTAGAGCGAGAAAGAGCCGCGACACAGTAAGTAGTGTTTGAAGGCTGTCTGCCTGTAAGCGGAGGCTTAGTAGAGAGGGAAGGAGGTGGGGGAGGAGGTGGTGTGGAGAGAGAGAGAGAGAGCTGGTTATTTAGCCTGCCATGTCACTCACTCACTCCGCAGTGCTGCTGTATTAACGCGCCGAGCTCCGGTGTATTTGAGATATTTGAGAGTCGTTGTTGTGACTGGTCCGGGCCGCGCGACGGTGGTGGCGTCACAGATGGAGTTTGTGTGACCCCCCCCCGGGTGTGTGTGTGTGTGTGTGTGTGTGTGTGTGCTTTACTGTGTGGGTCATGATGATGGCGCACAGGCGCACATGCAGCAGGCTGGCTGTATGTGGCTCTCAGTGTGGAGAGGTGGCTCGTAGTAAACACAGAAGGGTTTACATTCATAAAGTGGTTGTATCTGTGTGTATGTGCGCGTGTGGTCTCAGGCTGCTGGACCCCGCTGTCTGTGTGTGTGTGTGTGTGTGTGTGTGTGTGTGTGTGTGTGTGTGTGTGTGAGAGAGAGAGAGAGAGAGAGAGAGACAGAAAATCAACTTTAGCGAAAGAAAAATGAACAGGAAAAAGTCTGTGACTGTGTGAAGAATATTCTCAGGTTTCACCATGAGGTTCTTCCTGAAACTTTAATATAGGTTTGTTGGAGTGTTTGAATAAAACATCCAATGAAAGGCTGATGAATCGACCCACGCAGCAGAAGTTGTGAAGTGAATATTTAATATATATAATAATATTTCCTCCCTGATTTCAGCTTTCATATCATATCTTTTTTCTTTTTACGCAGAGGCGTAAAATGCTTTCAATGAAGGACTAAGAGTTGTGGAAATGCCCATATGTGCTATTAGCCAAGAGGTAAATGGACAAGGACACACACACACACACACACACACACACACAGGTTACACACGGAATGGGGGGGGGGGGGGGGGGGGTGTTGTACGTCCTTGGGTAAAGAAAATCTTTGTGCGTCCCTCGCCCTTGCATTTTCCAGGCAGGATGGGTGTGAGTGAAAAAGCGTCGTGGATACAAACATTCCCAAGGCTCACGATCAGAGTCCTTGCTGCTTATTTTATGTCGGAGCTTTGACCTGTTTGACTCATACGAAAGACACACCCGCACACACACACAAACAGACACACACACACTGTGTACGTGCTCAACTCGTTGTTTTTTTTTTTTTTGCAGAAAAAAACAAACACAAATGAACACACATTTCCGGTGTAAATTAACACAGAAATACGAGGCTATGTTGTTAAAAGTATTATATCAAGTGTCTCTGACTTTTAGGCAGGAAACACCGAAACACTGAACCAAATAATGTCGACACAACAAAGCGCACGGGCTGAGCAGTATTAAATATTAATGGAATTTTCTAAAGTAATACTAATGAGGCTGGGGACACAGAAAATGTATCAAACAACCTAATGGACCTCTGAGGCTGCACTTAAATCAGGTAGGCCTCACTCAAAAACACAAGACTAATAAAACACTTGGACTTTTATTAATGCTTATGAAACATACGGACTAAATGATAGAAAATATTTCACGCCTATAACACTAAAGAAAACTGGAAGCAACAGAGAACATGGCAACTATTTTATATATTGAGATCAATACATCTATATTCTCCAGATCAGCTGTAATTCAATTGACACGAAACACAAAAATTCACAGTTGAAAACACTATTAGTCATTAACACCAAACCCGCCATGGAAATCAATAACTTGATCTCATGTTATGAAACGGTAATGAAATAACTCGCGGTGTGTTCTGGGTAAAACGAGAGAAGTAGGTAGAAGTGTCAACAAACAGTGTCTTACTGTTTCCACTGAATCTTTTATTACTTCTCCTCACTATATCTCTGTCTCTCTGTCTGGAGCTGTCAAACAGCCGGGCTACTTGTGCACGCGTCCTTGCTCTGTGTGAACGCGCGCTCCTTATTGCTTAATGGATCCATCATGTAAATAGTTTAATAGGATCTCGTCTCACGGCGGCGGGGTTTCAAAACTTTAAAAACAAAACAAAAAAAAAAACGTTACATCAGTGCGTTGCCCCCCCACCTCCCCACCCCCATCCAATCCCCGGTGGTTCAGCTGTCGATCAAAGCAACTACGTCATAATAAATTAATAGAAGTCGTTTTGTGTGAAGTCTGACCGCAACATGGCGCCCTGAAGAGGTCGACAAACACACAGTGTTGAGAGAAGGCTGCAGCGATGAGATAGAATATAAATGCATACATAGTAATATATATAATATACATAATAATATAGGCCTACTAAATATACTATAGGCTAAGTCTCCGCAGACAAAGGTCACAACATACGGCTGAAATCTCCGGGGGAGCAGTGGATCTTTTTTGATCTTTTTCTTTAATATTATATTATTTAGGCCTGTGACTTATAGCCTGTAGGCTGTAGCTATAATATATAAGCTCCGGAAAAAAGCAGTGGATCTTTTTTTTTATAGGCCAACATATAACCTATATACTGTAGGCTATATAATATAGGTCTATGTAAATAGGTTATAGCTGTGTTTATTAAGGGTTTTGCTGTATAGTCTATGACTATATGGATATTCGTTTGATTTCCCAAACATGTCCCCAACATTAGGCCCTTGTTCTATTTTTTATTTTATCTATTTAACTCCGCCAAATGCAGTTTCTGTCATTATTTAGCTTATTTTCTGTGATATAATCTGAGAAAACCTTAACGGAACCTGGCCTTACAGTGTTTGTATTCAGGCCTCTAGTTACTTCATCTGTGGGTGTATTTCTCCTGGTCACGACCGCACAGTTAATCCGCTCTCCCCTGCCCTCCGCTAATGAGGCAGGATTTTGCTTTCGGAAGTCCCTCTCTGCTCTCAAACTCTCATTCATTATGTTCTCTTTACATGTGAGGCCGGTCTGCTTCCAATGCATTTTCAGTCTGGGGATTCCTGGCGCTGCCCTCCGCCATCACAATGATTTTTCACCAACTTCACAAGAATGTTATTTAGAGTCATGTTCGGGATGCCATAAATTATTCAGACACCAGAGGGGGAGACGTGAGGGAAGACCGTCTTCTTCTTTCTAAAGTTCTCTCTGCTAAATAATGGAAAACAGGTTCATTTCATTCCAACAGATCCTGCCACACTTTTGATTTTTTTCAATAGAAAATGTAAATTTGTGATTCTGAAAATGGCTTTGAAGAAACAAATTAGGCCTATAATAATGGGTAGTGACATACATTATTATATAAGATTATCTCAATATCAGTCAGAGGTTTTTGAGAGAAAAAAGAAAAATAATAAGATAAAGGTCAACTTATCCTGAGCTTTCAACTGTGGCTTGCGAGTTTTTATGTTTTTCAATAATTATGTTTCTACATTTCGACTTTTTGTCTTGGAAACAGTCGCTGCATCTATTACCTATTCCATTCTAGAACAAACCAAGACTAAACCAATAATAATAGTAATAATAAATTAAAGAAAAATGAATAATAATTATAGGCCACTTGTTAGTTATTTT